ATGAATTTTACAATTAAATAAATTAAACATAAATATTTAAATTTTTTAATAAAGATAATTATAATTAATTATAAATATTTTCAATAATATATATATATATATATATATATATATAATATAATATATATAATATAATATAATATAATATAATATAATGTAATATTATTATTTTTTTTAATCATCTTTTTTTTTAATTATTTTTTAATAATAAAACTTTCTATTTAATATATTTTTTTTTTAAATAATTAAAATTTTTATTAATATTTTTTTTTTCTTTTAATAATAATATATACAATAAAAAAATAAGTATGAATTAAGAGAATGATTATGATCAAGAATTCTATTTCGATTTTGAAAAAATAAAAAAATAATAAAGTTAATCTATTCTCCCTAAATGGTTAATAGAAATAAACCACAAAATATCAAATTATAGTGAAAACATTGATAAAGTAAACCAAAAGCTTTCCGATTTAGATAAAGGTTTGAAAGAATTCGATATAAAAAGACTAGATCATTAAAAAAAAGCCAAAGACTAAAATAGAATATCAATATTACAAAAACACAATCCAAAATAATATAAAATAGTTTTTTTTTTTTTTTAAAAAAAAAAAAAAATTTACAAAAAAAAAAAAAAAGGATGAAAGCCTATTAAAATACAAAAATGCATTTTATTAAATAAACAATTATATACTCCTAAATATATTAGAATACATAGATTTAAATATAATAAAAACACTAATTTAAATGTCTAAAGTAAGTAAAAGATTCTACAATATAATCCAAAATCCCTAAATGTACCAAATTATAATCGAAAAGCTTTTAGGAAAACAATTCATTTATTTAAATAAACAAAAATAACTCAAATAAATTACAAAATATATTTTTAAAGAATTTCAATTATTTGAATAGACACTTAAAAATTACAGAGATTAAAATTGTCCTTTATAAATTTAATATAGCCTAAGGACTGAATTAATACGATCAATAAAATTAATAAATGAAGTATTTTCTTTAAAAATTATAAACTAAACAACTAATTTTATTATATATAAATTATTAATAAACCTCCTAAAAGATAAATATAGTTTAATTTATATATACAAATTTATATTTATTAAAAAAATATTAGTAAAAGGTGCTTATGTTCTTTCAAGAATTGCCTAATCTGATGAAGAAACTTTAAGATATGATGCATTTGATGCTTTATTTACTTTCATAGGTAGTGAATAAGATGAACTTTAAAAATTCGAAGTTTTTAATGTCGTTTCTTAGTATTTAAATAAAATAAAATTGAGTGAAGAACGAAAGATTAAGGCTTTATTAAATAGCGAATTTAAATAATTTGCAATAAAAAGTGATATTGAATAATTTAAAGATATTCATTTTATAATTTCAATAATATATAATTCTAATGTTTTATAAAGCAAAGATATTATATTTGATTTAAATAATAATAAAAAAGAAATAAAAACCATAAACAATATTTTAAATAAAAACAAATAATTTCAGGGAATTATTTGGGACAGAAATATGAATACTATATAATAATTTATTGGAAATTTAAATATAAATTAAAAATAAGGTTCTATTTAGGGAACTGGTAGTGATTTTTTAGGTGAAAATAAATTTAATTTATTTGGAAATATTTAACTTTTTCATAATTAATCATTTTATAAAAATTATCATGTTTATAATAGTATTTCTTATTTTGGAAAAGGAAGTCTTATTTTTGGTGATAGTTTATAAAATAACTAAAATTTTATATTTAATACTGGATTAAAATATAATTTCTATGTATCTTTTTGTTATTCTTTTGATGATTACTAATAGTTTTTTACTTTTTATGGCTCAAATGATAATATGAGATAGATTTTATTTATTAAATTAATTTGAACTTTATATTAACTATATTAATTTATTTATATATAAAAATATAAACTATTAATATCTTTTTTTAATAATATTAAAAATATGAAAAATTCATATTTAGCATTATCTTTAATTGGTTTATCATCAATATATGGTATTAAAACATATTGTAATGGTAGTAAATGTACAAAAACTAAAAGTCTTTAAGGAAAAACAATAATAATAACAGGTGGGAGTTAAGGAATAGGAAAAGAAGTAACAAAAAATCTAGCAGAAAACGGTGCTTAAATAATACTAGGAGCACGTAATAAGGAAAAAGTATAAAAATTGTAGGAAAAATATACAAATATAGAATATATATACCTAGATTTATCAAATTTCGAAAGTGTGGTAAATTTCGTTAAAGAATTTAAAGAAAAAAACTAAAAATTAGATATATTAATAAATAATAGTGGATAATATAACATAAATTATAAATAAAATGAAGATTAATTAGAAATGAATTTTGCAGTAAATCATATGGGTCATTTTTTATTAACAAATTTACTGCTTGATACTTTAATAAAAACTCCATTTTCAAGAATAATTGTAGTTAGTTCAAGAGCATATTAAAGAGCGAATTGTATAGATTATGAATTAATTTAAAATAAAGATAAAAACAAAAAAAATCAAAAGTAAAATACATATGTATAAAAATATATATATATATAAATAAATATATATTTATATATATTTTTTTATATATATAATTTTTCTTTATATTATCTAATTTTTTTAAATATTAAATTTTAATAAATAATTGCTTTATTTATTTTTTTTTTTTTTTATATATTTTTTATATTTTTATCTAATTATAATCAAAATTAAAAAATAATTATAATATTTTTTATAACAAAAAGTTATTTATTATATCCATAATCAAAATTAGCTAATAATTTATTTACAAATGAACTAGCTAGATAATTAAAAGATAAATAAACCAAAATTGTATCATTACATCCTGGTATTGTAAGAACATTTTTATTAGAAAATTTAAGTACATAAATTCCATATTTAGGTTTTTTTATTAAATTTTTTTTTTATCCATCTATATGGCTTTTAACTAAAAATAGCTACTATGGAGCTTAAACTACTCTTACTTGTTGTTATATGGATTTTAATTAATTAGTAAATGGAGGCTATTATAAAGATAATGAATTGGCTGTCTAAAACAAAAATGCTTTAGATTTGTAAAAAGCTTAAGAATTGTGGTTTTTTTCAATGGATTATTTTAAAAAAAGAAAATTTTTATAATGAAATATTTATATTTCATTATATATTAATCAAATAATTAATAATAAATAAAATTATTTGTTTATATGTTTTGTATAATTTATTTTTATAAATCTAATAAAAATAAATAAATAAATACTATTATCTTTTTTCCTTAACATTTTATCATTATAAATAATGATTTATTTTATAATCAAAAAATTAATTACAATTATATTAATAATGAATATAAAAAATATAAAAAGAAAATAATTAAATTATAATACTATTATATAATATAAAATATTTTCAATTTTTATTAAATAATTCATATAAAATTTAAAATAATCAAAAACATATGTAATTTCTGATAATTCCTTTTTTATTTACTTTAAAGTAAAAAAATATTGCTTATTTAAACTTATAACTAAAAAAGTTTATATTATTTAATTTTCTTAAATTACTAAAATAAAAATAACTAAAATAGGTAACTCAATTAGCTATTTTACAGAAATTTTACTAACTTTAAATAAAAAATACCTTTTAATTTTAAAAATTTAAATTAATGATTTTATAATAAACTTTTATATAAAAATATTAAAATATTATAATTATATTTTCAAATTATTTTATTATATTAATATATATATATATATATATATATATATATATATATATTATATCAAACTTAATATTTTTTTATTAAATTATTAATTTTAATGGATATTTATAAATTTGTTTTTTAAAATGTTAAAATCCAAAAATATTTATATTTTTTGAAATAAATAATATAAAGGATTATAATAAAAATTTCATTATTTATTGATAAAAATTATATTATATATATTTTTTTTAATTTAAATCATACATTTAATTAAAATTATGAGTATTTTATCTTATGTGATTTTTTGCAGATTTCTTTAATTAAAATGTCATCTATAAAATATTAATAATTTATTAATATAATATTATATAAATTCAATAATTTTCTAAAAAATATAAATTTTTATTTCAAATTTAAAAATTATAATAATGATTAATATTGAAAATGTTAAATATATAATAATGCTTAAAAAATAAATACTAAAGTTTAAAATATTTAATATTTCAAAAAATAATTTTTAATATAAATATATATTCTATTGCATTTTAAAATACAATCCATAAAAATAAATAATGTTAATCTGAATAAATATTATTTTATACAATAATTAAAAAAAAATATATATATAATAAAAAATTATATTTAAAATGTATAAATATTATTAAATTTGATATAATTAACATTATTTTTAAAAAGTTATAAAAGTTTAATAAATACATATATTATGTGTTAATTTTTATATAAAATACTTAATTATTTTAATAATTATTATTATTATTATTATTATTATTATTATTATTATTATTATTTTTATAATTATTATAATTATTATATTTATTATTATTATTATAAATTAAAATAATATTATTTTTGAATTTTTTATATTTAATATTTTATTTATTTTTTTATTATTAATTAAATAATTTATATATTTTATTAAAATTTTTTTATAAATAATTCTTTTAATTATTTTTATATATTAATATTTTTAATATTTTTTTTTTTAACAAATCATTATAAATTATTATGGATTGTTTATTAATTTTTTTTTTAATTAAATAAAAAATTAATTAAAAATATATAAATTAATATTTTTTTATACAAATATATTTTTAAAAAATTTAGATTATGAATTTTATTATTTCTTAAAATATATTTTTGTTTTATAAATAAATATATTAAATATAGATATTTTTTTAATAACTTAAAAAACAAAAAACTTTAATTTTATATCTAATTAATATATTATTTAAAAACATATTAATTTAAACAAAACTTATAAAAATGGACGAAATCCTTGAATTATAACGTTAATTGGCACAAATCTAAGAGCAAACGACTTAAAATAAATTTTCTGACCGGGTAATTGTAGATTTAATAAATAAATTAATCTAAGAGTACAATTTAACATTAATATATAGCTCAGACGGTCAAGAATATATGACTCCTGAACATTTAGATAATCAAATACAATAGTTAACATAAGAAAAGGGCGTATAAACATTGTAGACTATCCACAATTATTAAATGTTAATTCTGAAATAATCGAAAGTCGTTTACCTAAAGTATTAAAGAAAAACAAACGAGAACTCCTAAGATTAGAAAACGAAATAATAACAAGTGCATATTTAAACTAAATATGTGAAGATATAAATGAAGATTTACAGTAAAGATCGTAAATACTGCTTACAGAAATAAGCCAAAATATATAATTTAACTATGCAATTTATAAAAGATCAACTATAAAGCAGAATTGACCAAAGAATAATCGATGGAAACATTGTTGGAGGGGAAAAAATATGTACTTCAACCTTTCAATTATTGATGAAAGCAAAATTAAGAGGATCACTTCGTGCAGCCACAAAGCCAATAGTTTTGGGAAATTTAAGTAAAGAATTCGGCATTGAAAATAAGGTTTTATAAGAAATAATTGAAGAGTTAATAAACTAAGAGTATATAGAAGGGAAAATACACACAGGAAGTTTTATCCCTTAAAAGTTTTAAAAAAATCAAGAAAACATCATCAGAAATTTTCTCAAACAAAATAACTATATAGAATATTCGATGCTATAAAAATAATTATACGTCCAAAAACCATAAGATACTCTTAAAAATATGTTTAAAGATCAATGTGTATTATTAGAAGACTGTGCTTTTTTTAAAGACTCATTAAATTAACTATAAGAATAAATCCATAATTTGTTAATAGAGGAAGGATATACAGATTTAGTTTTTATGTTCCCTACAATAATTACTAAAGGAGATATTGATAGTATTATTTTTAAACATATGAAACTTACTGAAGTGGAAATCGATGAGACATATATTTTCTCACATAAGTTTATTGAAAAATGCGTCAATAATCTAAAATAACATATAATAAACGAACTTTAATAAAACCCATAAAAAATAGTCTAATAATAATAAGAAGATAATTTTTCTGAAGAAGAAGAAGAGGAGAATTTTCGTAAAGGGAAAAAAAAATAACAAAATTAAAAAAAATAGCCGAATACTAATAAAAATAAATCCTCTTAAAATAAAAAAGATACATATAATAACATTTTCAGTTAATAGGAATTTATTTAAAAATTGTAAGAACAAAACGTCCTTCCAAAAAACGAAAAAGATGAAATCTTCGAAAAAAAATTGTTTAAAGTTTCTTAAAACCAACTCCAAAAACACATCGAAACTCTCCGAAAAGAGCTCTTAGATAAGAAAAAATCAGGTTCATCTGAAGCTATTTAATAACTAATTTAATTAATTGAAGAAAGCGTTACTTTTATTTAATTTAGTTTAAATAGTATAAAATCATTTGAAAATAATCATTCTGATATCAACTTAAAGATATTCTATGATAATATACATTATACTAATAGAATGCTAATTGAAAACATAATAGTACTTTTATGTAAAAAATTATCTATTTCACTCCCTTAGGGCCTTTTTATTAAAAAAGAATACGAAAATCCAAAAAAAAATGTATAAATAGGCTTTGTGGTCCTAAAGAAAATTTTCAAAGACAAAAAAATGTTATAAGAAGCTATATCTTTATTGCCAAAAGAATATTCTTAATTTTTAGGAAAAGCGTTCGAATTTTACTCTTCTAAATCAGTAAATAATTTATTCAACTTTTTAATGGAAAACTAAAATTTGATAGGGATTAGAGTTATTTTTGATAAAAAAGTTGAAAAAGGAATAATTTAGAGTCTTAAGTATTTCTATAAAGATCTTATTAAAAAAGATAGACTGGACTTCAAATAAAATATTTTAAGAACTTCTATTTTCATTTTAATTGATAAATTTAATCTTTTCTATATAGGATCTTAAGATGAAAATAATGCAAATATTTTATATAGTATTTTATTAAGTTTGGCTAAAGAAAACACATAAGAAGAGATTTATAATACATTGAAAAAGTCTTTGGATTGTTTAGAGGTTATTAAATAGGAATAAAAAGATGCAAATGATATTAGATAATTTGAAAATTCAGTAATTGAACTTATTAAAATCGCTAAGCTTTGATTTAATTAAATTTTTTTTTTAATTTAATAAAAAATGAAATATTTTTTTAATTTTTTATACATAAAAATGAATATATTTATTTTTTATTACAAAAAATGATTTTGTTTTTTCTTTTTTTTTTTGTTCAATAATTAATACATTTTTTAAATAATTTTTATATTTATTTATCTTCCTTAAAATTTTCTAAAGCTTAATCTAAATTCAAATCTTTGAGAAGTTTATAACATTTTAAAGTTAAAAGAACAATTAATAAATTCTTATAGCAAAAACATTAACTAAATTCATATTAGTTTAAATTTTATACATAATAGAGTCGAAATTATTTATGTTTGAGTAATTAAATAAATGAAAAAACTACATTTTAATTTTAATAATTATTAATTTAAAGCCAATTTTTAAAAAATTAACTCAAAAAATTAATTTTTTCCTCACTTTCAATAAAAAAAATCTTATCTGAAATTCTTAAACTGAAAGCTTCCATTAATTTATCATCTATAAATTAACTAAAAGGGATTACATTTTAAATAATTTGTTCTTTTAAATCTTCAGAAAAAAAACAGTCTTCGATTCCGTTAAATAGGAAATATTTCAAAACATTATATTTTTCGTCAAATTAATAAAAATTTAAATAATTAATTATTTCTTCCAATAGTAAAGAATATTTATCATCTCTTTTGAAATCCTATAAGTCACATTTTGATATATCGAATTATAATTCAAGCTTTTTTTCAATTAAATCCTATATAAACTATTCCAAATTAATTTCCTCATCTTCAAATCCGAAAAACTCTTAGTTATTGTCACCTGAATAAATTACTATATAATCTTAATTATTATTATTATTATTTTATTCGATTTTTTTAGGTTCTTATATTTAGTTTTGTGATTAAAAAAGTTAATTTTTTTGTTCTTATTATTTATGTTTAATTTAATTTTATTCTATATTAATATATTCTTGGGTTTTATTTTTTAAATTTAAATTTAAGTTTAAGATTATAATTATTATGCTTAATTTTTAATTGGGTTTTATATTTTTGTACCATTTATAAACATATTATTTATTTATTATTAGTTTAAAGCTTTATCTTATTTTTATTATTAATTTTATTTTTTCATATTTTCAATATTCTTTTATGATTTATTTATTTGAAAGATTTTATTATTATTCATTTATATTATTTTTTTTTTAAAAAAAAAAAATTGGAAAATAAAATAAAATAAAAGAATATTTATTATAAAATATATATATATAATTAATTTTATATTAACATAAAAAAAAACAAAAAATATTAAAAAATTTAATATAATTTTTATCCCTTAAAAACAAAAAAATGGATTAATAAGCAGATGATAAAAGATTAATCATGGAATTAAATAAAATTAAAGCATTTTAAAAGGTAAAAAAAATACCATAAAACTGGCATTATCTCGGTCCAGAAATAAAAGATGGTATTCCAAATTATAAAGAATGGATTTTTTGTTGGACAGGGAATGAAGGAAGTATGTTGAATGGAATATATACAGCCAAAATAAAAATTTAGAGAGATTTGAGAACTACTCCACCATAAATTTATATGTCTCCGAAAATTTAACATATGCATGTGTTTGGACATGGTTTAGTCTGTTTTCCTTTTATTGATTAATTAAGATGGAGGTCTAATATTACTATTTTTGAAATTGCTTTTGAATTAGAAAAAATGTTTTATAATGAACCTTTTATTGAATCTCCTGCAAATGATAATTTAAAAAATATATATATAGCTAATTAATAATAATATTATGATATTTTAAGTTAATAAGCCGAATAATTTTCTAAATTATAGCCTTATAAAGGGACATGGGAATGAAATATTTAATTAATTATTTTTTATTTACTTTTAATTAATTATATTTTTGAAATTACACATAAAATAAATTTATTAGTTTAAAATATTATTTAGAAAAAATAAAATAAAAAATATATAAAAATAATAAACATTATTAATTAAACTATAATAAAGTTTATAAAAAAATAATATTTTTCGAATAAAAGTACTAGAAATAAATTAAACAAAATACGTTGTTTAATTAAGTTAAATTCTTTTTTTTAATAAAAAATCAAAAAAATAGTTTGTTTATAAAATTAATTTTATTAGTATTTACTTTTTATAATAAAAAGAAAAAATTGTAAAATAAAATACAATAAAATAAATGTTTCAAATAAAATAAATAAATATTTAATGTATAAATTATCCTAATTTTATATAAAGAAAAAATATAGAAAAAAAAAAAAAAAAACTATTTTCAACAACAATTATTATTTTAAACATTTTATATATGATTATTATTTGCATTTGTTTCAGTTAATTTTATTTTTTATTCTTATTGATCATTTTAAACTTGATTTTGATTGTTTATATTATTATTTTTATTTTCGCTAACTTATTAATTTTATTCTTATTTACATATTTTTTTATTATTATTTTCAATAAAAAAAAATATAATATATAAATAATAAATACTTGTACTTTCAACTAAACCTGTGCTATCAGGTAAAAGTAAAGAAACAGCCATTTATTTAAACATATTAAGTACATTTTCCCCTGTTTTTGCTGAAATTTCGAAATAACTCATATTATAGGTTTTAGCTTTTTATTATGCTTCATCTTAACTAATAACTCTATCTAATATATTTTTTTTTAAAAAAAAAGAAAATAATAATAACTTAATTTCAAATCAGTTTTATTTGCTCCTATAATACAAGGAGCTTCAGGTCCTCTATGGTCTTTATAATCTTTGACCCATTTATCAATACTATTGAAACTTTCTTGACCTTATAAAATGAAAGAAAAAAATAAAAATAATTAATTATTTTTAAAAAAAGGCCAAATTAATTATTACTCGTTACATCAAAAACTATTACTGCACAAGTCGCATCTCTCAAATAACTAGGAATTAAACTTCTAAATCTTTCTTAACCTGCAGTATCCCATAATTATAATCGAATACTTTTATCATCTATATGAAGTGTTTTTGCTAAAAAATCAACACCTACAGTTGGCTTATTAATTATTATAATTTTTGTTTTTATTTTTATATATATTTTTTTTATTTACATGCGGCTTTTCATCAAATACATCATACATAAATCTTTCAATTATACATGTTTTTCCTACATGTTAATCACCCAAAAATATTATTTTATGCTTTACTCTAGATACACTTGATAGGTTAGAAGTCATTCTACTACTGTCATCAGTCATTTTAATTTATTATTTTATATTTTTTATTGTATTTTTTTATTTTTTTTTATTTTTTCTAATATTATATATTTCTTAGTTTTTTATTTATAAATTTATTTATTGTTTTATTTATTACTTTCATATATTTTATAATAGCTTTTTTTATTATTTTGTAATTGTATAATATATATATCTTTTTATACTTTAATTAAAAAAAATATACATTTAAAATAATAAGATATATTATATATTATATTTTTCTTATTTATTTAATACTTATATTATTAATACATACTAAAGAAATATTGGATATATAAATAAATATACATATTGTCATTGTATTGAAAAAAAAAAACTTAAATATTAAAATATATTCATTTTTTATAAAGATAAACAAAATAAAAATAAATATATAAAATTATAAAAAATATATTATATTTCCTAATATATTATTAAAAAAAATCTAATCTTATTAATTATATTTTATTATATTAATAAGTAAAAATAATTTTTCAAATGCAGGATATACATCAAAATTGTTTAAAGTAAATTATTGATAGCATTAAAAAAGGAGAAGAATATTCTGCAATGATTAACTTTAATAATCTTTTATAGTTTAATAGTAGATATTAAATAAAATTAAAAATATTGATTAAAATTGATATTAATATAATAATATTTAACAACTTATATAAAATATAAATGTTTAGAATTAAATATAAAACAAATACAATTAAATATTTTAATAATAATAGTAAGATTATCTATTTTAATTTTAGGAAGAATAAGAAAATCTATAAAGGATTGAAAACTAAAAAAAAGAATAATAAAGAATCTTAGAAGAAAAAAAAAAGCAATAAGAAATACTAGAATTAGAAAAAAGTGAAGAAGATAAAAAATAATAAATAAATGATTAACTTTTAGAATAATCAAAATTAATAAGATATAAAAATACAATAGTAATAATTAATTGAAAATAATATAAAAGGTTATAATATTTAATATAACATATATTTAATTAATTTAATATTAATTTTTTTATTTAATTAATAGAAAAATAAACAGAAATAATTTTTTTAACTTAATAAAAACCAAATAATTAAGTAATTTAAATAAGTTTAAAAAAAAAGTTTTATGTCAATTTTAAATATAAAAATTAAACTAAAAATAAAATAAAAAAATATAATTATATAATTATTAAAATTTGTAAAAGTAGAAAAAAAAAAAAAATTAAAAATTTATATATATTTATTATATTATTTTTTTATAAATTTATGTACTTAGAAGAAAAAGATGTTAACAATAAAAATTTCAATATATCAAAAAGTAATTAATATATTTATTTATTTTTCAAATAACAATTTAAAAATGTATATATATTAATAACTTAAGAAACAATATAAAAATAGACTTTACAAAAATAAATAAAAATATTTAATAATTAATCAAAATTTTAATTATATAATTTTATTATTAATTATTCATAATATCTTTTTTGAAAAACATTTGTGATTAATAATAAAAATTATAAATAAAAAAATTTATAAAAATTTAAGTATTATATTTATTTTATAGATTAAATTTGTATATTAAACAATCAGAAAATAATAAAATATATATATATATATATATATATATAATATTTACATAATAAAAAATAGATGAATAAGATCAGAAAATAAAAATAAATAATAATAATGAAACAAATAAAATTAAATTGATAATAAAATAACTAAAAAAAATAAAAAGTTATATAAAAATTAATAATAATAATAATAATAATAATAATAATAATATTAATAGCAAAAATAACAATAATAATAATAATTACCTTTTTAACAAAAATCAATATAACATAATTCAACTAATGTTTGTGAAAATTAACAATAATAATAATTTATTGAAGAAAACGGATATGATAGTGATGACATTTATAATTTAATAAAATTTAATTGATTTAAATATTAATTATGTGTTTTTAATTTAACTATAATAATTTTTTATATTTTTACATTTATTAAAAATAATATTAATATTAATATTACATATTACGTTTTTCTAAATTTATAAAAAACTAATTAAAAATAAATAAATAAAAATAATAATAATGAATTTAATAAGTAAGCCATAAAAGCAATAAACAAATATTTACATTAGAGGAAAGAAAACATACAGTCTTATTATATATAATAACAAAAATCATATTAATTATTTATTAGGTTTTTTTCAAAGAATATTTTGTTGTAAATGCTTCTCCTTATTACAAGTACTTTTATCTTTTTTTTTATTTTTTAAATTATTAAATATAAATTAATATTTTTACTTATAATAAGGAAGAAGATTAAAGTTTACTTACATCCTCTTAAAGAAAAAAAATTTCTAAAAAATTAATTTCAAAATTTAAGGAAGAATATTAATTAAGTGTATTATATATTCATGAAATTTATTTTATAAGTTATTTAAACTTTTTATTATAGAAAAACAAAATTTTAGATCCTTTGTAAATTTTAATTCGTCTTTATATTGAAGATGGTATAGACGATTCTTTTGATATGCTTAAATTATGTAGGTATATAAAAAATACAAAATAAAATATATATTAAAAAAAAAAAAAATGAATTTAAAAAAATAATATATATATATAATTAAAATAAAAAATATATTGAATTTTTATATATAAAATATATGCTTTTGTACAATAATCTTTAACATAATTATTTTAAATAATTACTAAAATACAATATTTATTTATATAAAAAAAAGGATAAATCCAAATTTATAATCAGATCATGTATGGAGAGATGATTTAGAATTTTATATTCCTTAAATATGTAATTATTTTGTATTCCACGAAGAATTAAATAATCAATAACTAAAAGATTTTTTAAAAGAATCAGGAAAAATAAGCTATTTTTTTGCCCATAATTTATTTTTTTATTTAAGGAGTATATCATAAACCATTGAAAAATAAAAGATTTAAGATTTAATATTAGTATGGGATGTACTAGAAGAATTCTATACTATATTTAGTTAACATTTTTATTGCTAATAATTAAATACAAATCATATTATTAAACAATTATAAATAAATAAAGTAAATATTTTCGATGAAAAAACATAATTGTAATAATAATAATAAGAGTAAAATTTATATGGATCAATGTAAACTGAAGAAGAATAAAGTTTAAATTTTAAATAAATAAAAATGCAAAATTATATAGAGTAAGATATTTTTGGTATTACGAATGATAATTTGAAAAAAGAATATATGAAAGATGGATTTATTAGCACTATTTGTTTTTTTAATGATATTATTGAAATTTCTAATATACTTAAAGATGCTGACCCTAAAATTATTTCGTTAATACACGAGTTGACAAAAATAAATTAATAATTACCAGCTAATATATATATTCCTTTTTTAAAAAGTAATTTTTTTTATCTAATAATAATAAAAAAAAAAAAAAGAAAGTATAAGAAATCATGTAGTCTTAAATATTGTAACTAGTGAATGTAAAGTGTTTTCTTCAAAAGAAAGAAGTCCTTACTATATTTGTTTAGAAATTTTTAGACCTGAAGAATTATTCGATTTATCAAGTGAATAAACCTATATTGAAGAAAAAAATAAAAATGGGATTACTTAATAAATTAAATGGTTATATGATTATATTTTATCTTTACCAATAACTCTTGAAGTAATTAAACATCTTTTATTAAATAAAAATTTATAAATATAAAAAGAAAAATTAAATAAAAGAATAAAATAATGAAAAAAAAATATTAGATGCATAAATAGAGTAAAAATACATAAAAAAAATAAAAAATAATAAAACAGAATTTCAAAATTTATTGCAAGAAATAGAAAAAGTAAAAAAAAAAAAAAAAAAAAAAAAACAATAAAAAGTAAACTAATTAAAATTAACAAGAGATAGAAGAAAATAAAAATGGACTATCTTGCGTATATAAAAGCATAAATATAAAAAAAAATGAATATTAATATGAAAGCAGTTATTAAGAAAAAAAGCAAATAAAACTTCCATATCATAAAGAAATTTAAAAAAGACTTTTTGGTAAAAACACAAAAGAACAAGAAAATAGAATTAGAAAAAATTCTCCATATGGAAAGCTAAAAAGTTGGAAATTAGTTCATATAATAGTTAAAGTATAAATATTAATTATAGATATATATATATATATATATATATATATATATTATATATTTATATATTTATATATTTATATATATTTTTATTATTTAATTCTAATATTTAGACTGGTGATAATATAAAATAAGAATAATTTGCAATCTAACTTATTTAATAATTCCATTAAATTTTTAAAATGGAAGATCTAAATATTAAATTAACACCATATGAAATTGTTTCAATGGGACCTACATCAGGAATTATAGAAATGATTAAAGATTCTGTTACCTTGGCTGATTTAAAGAAAAACATATACACTTATTATAAAGAAATTTCTGATTTAAATAATTTCTTTGAAGTATTTTATGGAGATGATTTAAAAAAAGCTTAAAAAAATTTAATTTCCTCATTAGTAGGATATAGTTTAGTATGTTATTTTTTACAAATTAAAGACAGACATAATGGAAACATATTATTACATAAAGAAGGTCACATAATACATATAGATTTCGGTTTTTTTTTATCAAATGCTCCTGGTATATTTTAATATTAATATATAGAAAAGAAAAAAAAAAACTAGGTAAAGGTATAGCATTCGAATAAAATGTTCCTTTTAAACTCTTATCAGAATACATTTAAATTTTTGGAGGCGTAGAAAGTAAACTATTCTAAAAATTCAGAAAGCTTTTTTTCAAAGGATTCTAAGCAGCATGTAAACATCAAGATAAAATCCTTATTTTAGTTAAAATGCTTTATTCTGGACATGGAACTACTCTGCCATGTTTTTAAAAAGGAGAATTATGTATATAGGAGTTGGTTTAGAGATTCAATCCACCTAATGTTACTAATGATGGGGATTTAAGTATTCATTGCAATATGTTAATAAATTAATCTTTGGATAATTGGAGAGCTAGATGGTATGATAAATGGTAATACTTTTGTTAAGGAATTTTTTATTGAAAATAATAAATATTTTATATAAAATATATTTTATTTTATTTTTAAATTAAAAAATATTTAATAATCTTTTTTTTTTTTTATAAATATTTATTTATATACTTTTATAATTTATTATTTACAAAAAAAAATCTTTTTTTTTAATTTTTTTCTCCCCTTCATAATTGATTTGGTATTTATTTCACTACTAAAGTTGAAAAAGGAAGCACTTTTTTATTTTTAATATATTTTTTTTGTTTAAAGTTATATCTATCGTAAAATCTTTTTAAATGAATACATTAGTTGCCGCATTTTTATTTGTGTTCGTATAAAATTTTAATAAAAATATCTTCAAATTAATTAAAATCAAATTAATTATAATCTTTATAATCTTACTCAAGTAAAGATAGTTCTTTAATACAGTTTAAATCCAAATTTTATTTTTGTAAATGAACATATAAATCTCTAAAAAAAAAATAGTTTAATTAAAAATATATATATTTTTTGTTTAATATAATTACTTCAAATAAATATATTCTTAATTGCTTTCTTATTATTTTTGAATATTCTCATTAGCTAATTATTCTACATTAAATAATTATTTATATTCCTTTTTTTAACCGATACTATTAAATTAATGTTTCTTTTAATTTTTAGGAAAATCTATATAATTTTTACTAAAAATCTTAGCGTTATTATTAAATCTTTTTTAAATTATTTCTTTGATAATCTTTTATTATTAAATTATTTGCTTTTACTCTCTATCACTTAAGTTTTATTATGTATTTTCTTAACTATTATTATAATAAAGAAATTAATTTTATTTATGATAACTATCTCTACTAGTATTATCCCTGAAAGTGTTTACACTTTAAAATTTATAAATAGGTTTATAAAGAATTTAACTTTATTATTAATTATGATTATCATTTTAAATTTATTATTTTTATTCATAAAAACTTAGAATAGCTTTTTTATTATTTTAAATACCAACTTTTTTTGGGATTAAATCAGTTTAAGAATTACAACCGTTCTAATTATTTTCAAGCATATCAAATAATTAACTTTAAGTACTGTTTTCTTGGGCAGATTAGATTTTGCCATTATCAATAACAATTTCTTAATTTGAATTTAAAATATTAATAAATACTTTATTAATTTCTTCTTATTTAATATTAGTATGTTCGCTTTATTATTTCTTGTTTTAGTTTGCATTATTATTTTTTTAATTATTTTTATTTATTTAATTAAATTCTAGTTTTTAATTTTATTATACTTTTTTATCTTGTATAAATTAGTAAATATCTTATATTAATTATTCTCTATATATATTAAGTTTTAATTATAACATAATATATTTAGCTTAATTTATTTTTTCTTAATTTTTTAATTATAAAAATTAAACAAACTCATCTATACTTAAAATTTATTAATTTATTTATTAAGAAATATTATTATTAAGGTCCTGACTTTAAGAAATATCAGTAAAAACAATATTTTGATTGATAATAATATTATTTAAATTAACATTATTTGTTGGAGTTAAATTATTATTTGAACTTTCAGCATTAGTAGTAGTTTTAACATTTTCATATATTTTATTTTTATTTATATAGTTTTATGTTTAAACAGAATCAATTTAAGGAGAATAATTAATAATTTAATGAATTTGGTTATTATATTCTTAAATATTATTTTAATTAGATTCTTTATATTTTTAGTTTGATTTAGATTTTTTAAGAATATTTTCATTAATAATTTAATTAAAATTAAAATTTAATTAGTGCAAATTTTTTTAATTATTATCGGTTAATTATTAATTTTAAATTTAATTTTTTTCATCTTAATATTAAAAATTTTAGACATTATTTTTATAAAAATATTAATTTTTTTAAAAACTAAATTGTTTAGGTAATGAGTTTTATAATATTTTTTATTATTTATCTAATATTTTATTTTTAAATTATTTTAAATCTTCTATATAATAATTTTAAAATTTATTATATTTAAATTTATTATTACTATTATAATTATTATTATTTTTATTATTATTATTATTATTTGTATTTTTATTATTTTTATTATTATTATTATTATTTCTATTGTTATTACTATAATCGTTATTATTAGATTAATTATTTTTAATTATATTACATTCATTATCAATCATATCTTAAATATTTTAATTTATCATGTAAATATTTGTATTTTCATCAAAATTATTATTAGTGTCTTATATTTTTATTAAATATCTGATTCTTATTGTTGATAATCTTATTATTATTATTATTATTATTATTATTATTATTATTATTATTATTATTATTATATTTTTTAATTTGATAATTTTTTTATTTATTCATTTTAATTTTCTATTTTCTGTTTTTATATTTATGTTTATTCTTCTTATTATTATTCTATTTTTTATTAATAATCTTATTCTTACTATTATTTATTTGGGCTGTTACTATCACTTTTACTTATAGGTATTTATTTTTAATACAATTATAAGTTATTATTTTAATTATTTTCATATATTTCTTTATTTTATTTTTTATGATATTTATTTTGATATTATTATTATAAAATATTTGTCTAAATTTTTATATTTTCATTGATTTAATTTTTTTTTTCTTATACTTCTTTGTTTTATTCTTAAATTTTTTCATTTAATTCTTTTTTGATATTATTCATATTTATTTTTTATTAATTATTTTATTATACTTAACAACTTAATTAAAACTATAAATCATCATTTTCTTTTTATATCTATTCATTTTTTTTATTAACATTTTACAATTTCTCATTTAATTATTCAATTTAAGTTATATAAATAGCAGAAACTCCTAAGTTTTCTGATTCTTTTAAAATATTTTTAATTCTATTTTCTAAATCATTTATTTTCAATCCTTTTTGACTATTTTAATCTTATAGAACTTAAATTTCCTTTTCTAAATCGTAAAATTTTCTATTGTTTGCTAGTATAATACTTTCGAATTTATCTACTTAAATTCCTTATATATTTGTTTGAATACCAGTTTCTTTTTTAACTACTTTAAGGTTTTAAAATATAGATTTTATGACTTTTTTCAATCTTTATTTGGTATTATTATCTAAATTTTTAGCAATTTCATTTATTAATTATTTTATTTCTACTTTTCTTTCATTTTAATTTAAATTTTTAATTTTTTCAGTTCCTTTTATTTATTTTTTTTAAATAAAAATTAGTTTTTTTTTAATTAATTTTTTTTTACTATCTTGTATTTCTTATAGAATTTCAGACTATTCTTCAATTTATTATTTAGTATTTATTTATTTTAAATTTTATTAAATATATTTATCCGCTCTGGAATCTTTAGTACTCAAAAGTGATCTTTTTTCCTATATAATTGCCAGAAATTCTTATTGACTCATTTGTTAATTATCTTTTACAAAAGGGTCAAGATCAATTTCTCTGTTTTCGATAAATTCCGGAATATTAGCTATAGATTTTTCCTTTATTTTTATTTTATGCCTTGATTGTTTTTAAAAGGAAATAAGTTATTCTTTATTTAATAATTAATATTCTTCTATATTACTATTACTTTCTAAAAAATTACACAAGCTTCTTATTTAATTAAAAAAAATTAACTTTTAAGTTATTAATAAATTAGTAAAAAACTAAATCATTAATTAATGACTTTCGCCTTCTTTTAAAAATTCTTCTTTAATATCATTTATTGTATCTTAGTAAATCTCAAATTATTAACGCAAATAATTTATGAAATATTTATTCAATATTATAGGCTCATATTCAGGAAATTTAAGGTTAAAATCCTAACGAATTTATGTAAATACTTATATTGAATCAGTTAATAATTAATCTAAATTACTTTTTATATATTTATTTTAAATTTGAAAGAAAATAAAATACTTATCCGAAAAAATCGATTTTATTGACATGTAATAAATTATTTTATGAATTTTTTGTTTTATTTTTAAAAATAGTTTTAAATTATTATAAAAAATTAAATTAATAAATAACATTAAAGTTTTTTACTATTTATAATAATAAATATATTAAAGAAAAAATTTAATTATATTTAATTTAATTTAATTTAATTTAAAATTTAATTTATTTTAAATAAATTTATTTTTAATTTAATTTAATACTATAATGTAAATTAGTTATTTAAATAAAAAAATTATACATATTTTAATTTTTGATTTTTCATAATAATATTATATTTTTTATCAATAATTTTTCTTTTTTTTAATTAAAGTTTTAAAATTTCATATTTTTTTTTATTTTTTAAATCAATATAGTATCTGTCTATTCTACCTATTTTACAATAATATTCTCCCATTTTAATTATTAATAAAAGTAATCTTTACAAATTATTTTTTTTTTAAAAAAAATAAAATATAAATATGTAATAATTATTAAAAAATAATAAACTAAATCTAATATAACAAAAAAAATTTTCAAACGAATTTTTATTTTTATTTAATAATATAAAATCACATTGATTATATTATACTTGAATTATTATAATCTTTAATTTATTCAATTCTTTAATTATAATTTTCATGATTTTAACTAAAATTAATTTCATCTATATTACAACTTTATTCAATCTCATTTTATTTACTATAAAAATCTATAATAATTTTCCCATTTTATTATTCATACTATAATGATTTCTCCGATTGAATTTTTTTTTATTAAAAATCTATATTTTAATTTGCCAAATTTACAAAATTAAAATCAAATTCTTAATTATTAGCCACTTTTTGGTAAATTTATTAGAAATTATTATTAATAAATTCGAAATTTTCAGAATTTAAAATATCAACATTTTAATATAAAAAAAAGCAAAAAGAATTATGAAAAGTACAATAAATATCATTAGTAGGACCTAAACTAGACACTAATTTACTATTAATTTACAAATTTAAGCATTTTAAATCTTAATAATCAAAATTTTTATCTGGATTAAATTCTTTTATAGTTTATAAATTGTTATTATAATATCTATATAAAT